GGAGAGAATTCCACCGTGCCCTCTGCAATAGGACCCAGCGACCATCTACATAATTCTCTGCCCCCCATGAACCTAGGTCAACAATGGACTTGCTCTCCCTAATTCCAAAGTAATCACAAATGTCTGCAGCTGAACATTCTTATCAACTTTTGGGGCATGTTATTTAGTCTCAGAAATTTGTTTGAAAACATCAACATGGGCATGAGTCATGATCTAAATAAAATCAATTCCATTCAGGTGATTGTTGCCACTGTTGATCTTATTAATCAGCACTATTATTGCATATAAATGTAAAGGGAATTAGCAGACCATTCAGAGTAAGTGTTCCCAACTTTTCTTAATAAAATCTACACTTGGTTTTCTAGAACTCTTTATAGTGTTTATGGATGAATTCGGTTATTAGTCTGTGGTCAGAAGGATTTGCATTATCCCCTCCTCCTTGGTGTAATTGTCCATTTGAGTTGCAGGGCAAGACAGGCAGGAAGTGTGGCATCAATGCCTAGCTAGATCACAGGCCAGATAAAATTTTAGCATCACTGGGTAGACTCTTTTTGGTGGTTTTTTTTTTGTGAGATGGAATCTTGCTCTGTCTCCCAGGCTGGAGTGCAGTGGCATGATCTTAGCTCGCTGCAACCTCTTCCTTCGGATTCAAGCAATTCTCCTGCCTCAGCTTCCCAAGTAGCTGAGATTACACCTTAGCCCACCACCATGCCAGGCTAAGTTTTGCATTTTTGTAAAGACGGGGTCTCACCATGTTAACCAGGCTGGTCTTAAACTCCTGACCTCCAGTAATCCACCTGCCTCAGCCCCCCAAAGTGCTGGAATTACAGGAATGAGCCACCACACCCAGCCCACTAGACTCTTTTAGAAATGTCTGTTTCCTTTTAGCATGATCTGAATAAGGTGGGAGGGAGGGGAGAGGAGGAAGGAGAGGCTCAGAGGCAGAGTAGTCAAAATGCCATGAGAAAGCTTAAGGCTTTTAAGCCTTAAGTTGACACTGAAGGTGGAGGTTTCCTACACCTTGGAGCTTTTATCTTAAAGCCAGGCCACGCGGCTGTAATTTAGAACTATTAGCTAGAAGCATCTTAGTAGGGAGGAATTCTTATTTACAATCAGATAAGTACAGTATATAATTGGATCACACACATCTTGAAGCCACTTCCCCAGATTTATTATGCTTGCAATGATCTTTTGTAGACTCTCTGCATTTCTTTATAAAGAGCCCTAAGTATGTCCTTAAGCAAATTGCCATCAAATATGATAAAGTCACATACACATTACTCTCAAAAAGTCTAATATTCATTCTATTTTTTCTTTGATGCATAAAAATAAAACTATCTAATGAAGTCCTCAAAGGAAAAAGTGTACATATATCACCAACAAACACCCACCCTGCTCCAGGCAGGAGGAGGAACCTGCTGGGAGTGTAGCAGGCTGCACAAAGCACCCGAGGAATGGTGTGACTCTACCGGCAGGAGACAGAGATGGAATCAGACACTGGGGACAAACGCATGCATACATCTCCACGTGTGAGCATCAACACACACACTCAGAAGTCAGTCCAAATCATCACCAACGTACAGATTCTCAACACAAGAATGGCCCATGTACAAGAAAAGGTTTCCAAAGCATGTGAGGCCCCTATCCACTGGGACAATGCCATTTCTTCCCATCCAATTATAACCGGAATTGCATCTTCAGTCAGCGAGAAGTCAGGGATGTGAAAATGTCTTCTCAATGCAGTAACAGAGATGGCACTTGTTTTAAAAGTGAGAAACTAACCAATTCTCAGGACTGTAATCCCCAGAGCATTGCCTGTGAATCCTGAGGACCTAGAAGTCTCCTCGGGCAGGGCAGAGAAGGATAGGAGAATAAGCATTTCACATTTAGAGTCCCAAATACACCTTCTCATAGAAATCATGCCGTAAATATTGGGTAGGGCAGGGCATGGTGATTCACACCTGTAATCCCAGCAGTTTGGGAGGCCAAAGTGGGCAGATGACCCGAGGTCAGGAGTTTAACACCACCCTGGCCAACATGGTGAAACCTCATCTATACTAAAAATACAAAAATTAGCTGGGTGTGGTCGTGGACACCTGTAATCCTAGCTACTGAGAAGGCTGAGGCAGGAGAATCACTTAAACCCAGGAGGTAGAGGTTGCAGGGAGCCGAAGTCATGCCATTGCACTCCAGCCTGAGCAACAGAGCAAGACTGCATCTCCAAAGAAAAAAAAAAAAGATTGGGTATTAATTAAATCAAAAGAAAGCTAAAAGTTTATTTTAATTCTCTAAATTAATGAGGATTGGTGGATCAGTTAGGAATCTAATCAGATTTTATATTATTCCTGTGGGGGTGGGGGAAAAGTGTTTCATACTCTAGGTAACATATTTACAATCAGCCACTGGAACACAATACATGTGTATGTTGGTGACTAATGAGGCGGGTCAGGGCATAGGTAGAGAAAGATGCTGCTGGTGGAGAGGGGGACTATGCCCTGTGCCTCTGTGTGGGCAGTGAGAGCCAGCAGAAAGCGGTCACTTCCTGAAAATGTCACATGTGAAATTACACCCTGGTTCCACCCTCCTGAGTCCCTATGTGCAAAACTGTGTGTCTTCCCGAGTCTTCCTGATACATCCCTTCACTTGCTCCCAGCTAAGGCTCTTCCTCAAAGATCCAGGTAAGCAACTCTGCTTAGTTTATGCTAGGTTTTTGTTGTGGTGGTGGTTTTTCCCTGTCCTTTGGGCTTGTTCTTCCCTCTGCACTTATATTTCTCTGCACAAAAGCCATTCCCCGATGTCCTCATTGTTTTCAGTTCTCTGTCCAGCAATGTGGCCCTGGGATAAGACCACAAGAAAAGGTGTAGACGGACCTCACTCTGGGACTTTACTTGGTAATAAAATCCAAATGGAATGGGGAGAAAGTGATGGCAACACCACTGAAAAAGCCAGATGTGGTCTCTATGGTGGACCTAAGTCACATAGGAAATCCAGATGTGAAATCATTGTCTAAGCTGTTAGTAAGATTTGGAGCTTATTGGGTTTCAGTTCAGTAATGTGGTTTGACAGCCTTGCAAGGAAAGTTTGATTTTGTTCCAACCTGTTTTATAAATAAGCACATCATTGGACAATGTCTGAAGATGACATCTAGCTTTTCAGTGGTCTGACTCATATTCACTGATATGTATTCATCACTTACTATATACCAGGCATTGAGGAGACAGTGATGAATAATTCTGATCTTCAGAAACTTGCAGTAAAGAAGGAGAATTACACATCACTGGGTCAGTCAACCTCTGTCCACTGTGATGGGATCTACAGTAGACAAGGAGAAGCACGGAAGAGAAAATAACTTTCCCTAAAAGCGCTGGGGCTGTCACAGAGGAAAAAGGATTTGAACTGAGTCTCGAAGGATGGGCAGGACTTCACCAAGCATATATAAGATGTGGAAATGTGAAAAGAGATGGCACAATCTGGAAAAGGGACAGAAATGCAGAGCAGGAGATAAAGTGGGCAGGGAGGAGGATCCAGGTCAAAAGAAGGTTCCAGACCTAGCTGGGATGATACCTTTAGCTCCCCACACTCAACTACAGAATATTTTTACTAACTGAAGGATTAGAACTCAGCATTATACTTCTTGTTTAACCTGTCTATATTTTCCACGAATAGTGCTAAAATTATCACTCCTTTTCTATCACCACATCACTTGCAAGTAACCCATTTTGCCATGGAACTGCCTAGTTAGTTGCAAACTGCAGGAAGTGCCATCAGGAGGGAAGTCATCAAGGAGTACTAGGCGTTAGAGTTGTGCTTCCTGAGACACCTGTAAGTGTGCTTATTCCTGCTAAGTCATCTGGCATCAACTTAAAAGCATAGGTTTTTCAATTAATTGCGAAGTGGCAATCAGGCTGTGGGGAGCAACTGTGTGGAAGAATTAGAGGGATTCAGGTCTCCTCCATTCCCCCAAAGACAGAAAGGACCTAATTAGACCTAAAGCTAATATAACATCTTTCCTGAGGAGCCTTCCTAAGGGGTGGTTTCTTCTGTTCTACTTCCATTTTTGTATGTGTTAGTATTAATCAGAGTCCACTAAAGTGCTGGATAGAAATGTCTCAAGGTAGCATGTATTCATGTGAAACATGTATACTTCTATTCTAAATGGGCTTCAAAGAGCAGTTGCTTGAAAACAAAATGCTTAGTCTAATAGGCACATGCTTCGCGGACCCTCACCAGCTGTCACAGAGGAATCGAGTGATCCACGGGGATCCTTTCACTCTGGGGCTCATGTACACTAAAGATCTGCTTTAACATCATGATTTCATGTCAGCCTACTTTCAGGGAAAGCATTGCATTTAAAGAAACAGAGCAATGAGAAGTATGAGATGGGCTTTGTAATAATGGTATTCTAAAGATGTGCTGTGCACATTTGCATACTTTTTATCATCGGACCAGCTAAGCCAGGACACCCCAATTTCCATTCTGCTTTTCCTCTCTTAGTTGTTTCTCAACGGATACTCATCACTGGCATTTTTCTATATCAGTCTTACCTGATTTCCATTACCCCTTGTTGTTTTTGACAGAGGTTCATTAGATCTCAGAGTATGCTGGCTAAATATGACAGGCTGGTACTTTCAGAAATAACGGATTTCCCATTTTCCTAATTAGAACAGCATCCTTGTACAGACTGCCCAGATGCATCTGCCTTTATGCAAACTCTGAAGGCAGCTCATGTTGCCTTTTATTTGGTCAAAGATATTTTGTGTAAAAAGAGACGGATTGGAGTAAACCTGGTTCCAATGTATTTTTCTCCTTCAAATGCATTAAGATTATGGGCTTTTCTAGACAAATGGTTTCAGAGGAGTGTAGCCAACCACTGGCTATTCACTAACTGATTAAGTGGAATGTCTAGGATGTAAATTTCTTGTTCTCAATTTTCTCTCTCCTGACTTTTGCCCTTTCTACCACTTTACTGCAAAATGGTTATTTTCTTGTATTGTCTTCCTTTCTACAGGAAGGAAGACAATACAAGAAAAAGGAGAGAAAATTGATCAAGGTAAGTGATCCACAGTTACCTGTTCTGTGTCCCCATCAACAATCAACCTTGATTATCTAGTTGGCTTGAATGTAATTTAGGTCAGAAGTCAGCAAAGCACACAACCCAAACCATAGTCTGCAAATCCACAACCCAAACCTGGTCCACTGACTGCTTTTGTAATACACTTTTATTGGTACACAGCCATGCTTCATTCATGTATGTTTCATCAGTGGCTGCCTTCGTACTATAACAGCACAGCTGAGGAGTGGCAACAGAAACAGTATGGCCAGCAGCTAAAATACTTACTTTCTGGCTCTTCATAGAAGAACTTTGCCAACTCCTCCCTTGGGTGCTTGGGCTAATACGTTCTGCTTCTTAGAACATAGTTTGACTAAAGTAAAGGTCTTGCATTCTCTAGTTCATAAGCCTGGATTTCATACTGACCACACACAAGAACACCGTAAAGGTTAAAATCACCCTAAGTCAGTGGAGAGGTACCAGAAGATATTTTGGAAAGGATACTTTCAAGTACAAGTACAAGAAAACCCTCAGTCAACTGGCTTGACAAAATGATTCTCTCATACAACAAATGGAGAGGAAATTTAGCTCAGGGTTTTTTTTGGTTAGTGGTTTGGAAGTCTAACAAATACTCAGCCTCTTTTTTATCTCTCTGGCCAGCTGGTTTGTGCTTCCGGCTAACTCTCCATATAGCCCTGTGATGGCTGCCAAAGTTCTCGTCATCTCAGGCAGATACAACAGTGTCCACAAGCAACAGAACAATGATCTTTCCTCTTGTCTGTTTTTAAGGTTGATGAAAATCATTCCTGGAACTCCCACTCCCCACCTCAGTTGACTTCTGCAATTCAGTAGCCAGAACAGCACCACCGACCCATGGATTAAAACAATGACTGACAGGGAGGCAAAGTCCACAGCTTACTCCAGACATAATACCACCCATTATGCTAGGTGGATGTCTTTCTCCCCGGAAGCTTATAGATTAGCTGAAATGGGTGGATACTTGAAGAAAATTGGAGCTTTGCCAGAAGGAAAAAGAAGAAGAGGATGGATGTTGAATAAGCAGCCAAAAATGTCTACTATAGGGTGGCATGAATCCCATTTCCTTATTAGAAAAAGAATTCAAAAGATGTGTCCAATTAGTGATGAAGAAGTTATACTCCATGTATAAAGTATACAACTTTTACATACAGTAGAGAACGCCTTCTATTTTAGAGCTAAAACAATTTTACGAACTGTCACTATCAACATTTTATCTCTCTCGATCTTAAGAGGTTAAGACAAGATAAAAATTCCTTCAAGGTCTGAGATACGAAAACCATTATTAATTCAAAACCTAAAATAAGGAAATGCTAAGTATTTGAATAATATTTTATTTATTTTTTATAAGCTGAATTTTTATGCAAAAGATATGAGCTAGGCTTTAAAAAAATAACGAAATACCAAAAGAGGTAGTTATGGGATTGGTGCTAGGGAAAAATAAAGATAGAAAAATATTAAAGACAAGAGGAGCATGCAGAAACACAAATCATACATTCCTGGAGAGTTAAGAGCTGCCTAAGAATTACTCTCTGTGATTTGAAACAAGAAGGAAAACACTTTAAGTTATAAAACTGACAATGTCTTTAAGATAAAATTACAATAATGGTTTAGAGGAGGCATAGCTTTGCTCAGTATTAAAACTTAAGATAAATTTCACTCACATTTTCTCATAAGGAGGACACTGCAATAAATATTATTCTTAGCATCAAGGTTTTAAAGGCTGGTATATTAAAGTGATGCTAACCACTGAAACAAACAAACTCTAATACTTCAGTGCCTTATCACAGTAAAAATTTATTTCTTGATCATGTAACATCCTGTGCTGGTGGCCAAAATGTTTGTATCTTGCGGGTCCACCTGTCTCCTGGGACTCAATGCCCTCTGCATTCAGCTACAGTAGTTTCCCAGCCTGAGCACCACTGGCATTTCAGAGTGCATGATGCTTTGTTGTGGAGGGCCGTTGGGTGTTATTGTAGGATGTTGAGAAGCATCACTGACTACCACTAACTAGACAGCAGAAGCAAAACAATCAAAAATGCCTCCTACTACTGCTGCCAATGTCTCCTGGGAGACAAAATTGCCTATGGTTGAGAACCGCTGAATCAGAGAATGCGGAAAGAGAAAATCGAGAAGGTACATCTGGTTTTATTAAAATGTAATTCACACATGCATACACAAATGCTTGGATCTTAAGTGTTGAGTTCAATAAGTTTTGACAATTGTTACACCTGTGTAATAACCATTCAGAAGAAGACACCAACCATTGTTTTCATCTAGAACGTTCCCTAGTACTCATGTGTAGCCAACCCACCATTCCCCGCAGGCAACCACTTCCTGATTTTTCTCACTGTAGACTAGTTTTGTCTATTATTGAACCTCATATGAATGGAATTATACGATATGTGCTCTTTTGTGTCTGGCTTCTAGCACACAATGTTTTGAAACTTATCCATGTTTTTACCTGAATCAGTAGTTTTTTCCTCCCTATTGAGGAAGGGTATTCTGATGCATGAATACCACGTCACAAATTTGTTTCTTTGTTCAACGGTTTTACATTTTCTTTTTAAACAATTTGACCTAAAAGTGATGTGTTTCACTTCTGTTCAGATTCCACTGGTGAGAACTAGTATCATGACCCATCTAATTGTAAGGAGGGCTGGGAAACGATGTCTTTTGCAGGTAAGACACTTGTCAGCAACAATTCTCTATACTCTGGGAGGCAGGGTACAAATCTTTTGGAGGACAGTTAATTTTCTCTGTCATATCTAGTATCCAAACGGGAGGTCTGTGTATTGTTCTAACCTTTAGGCTAGAAGAGCTAAGTGAAAGCTGTGAGGGTATTCATGCACATACACTGTAGGTTTTGAAATACAGTCTAAAGCATTATCATTCATTTACACATTTTACTATTAACCATGTCAAATAGCAAAGCAAAATCATATTTCAAGTAGCTATCCACATGTTCTAAGTAGATACTAAATAATCAACCAATATCCAAAGCAACAAATAATTTTTAGTTAATGCATATTAGTGCTTTCTTTGTATATTTCTTTCTTTTTTTTGAGAAGGAGTCTCGCTCTATCACCAGGCTGGAGTGCAGTGGTTCACTCACTACAAACTTCACTTCCCGGGTTCAAGTGGTTTTCCTGTCTCAGCCTCCCAAGTAGCTGGGGACTACAGGCACACACCAACACATCTAGCTAATTTTTGTGTTTTAATAGAGAAGGCGTTTCACCACATTGGCCAGGATGGTCTCGATCTCTTGACCTTGTGGTCTTCCCACCTCGGCCTCCCGAAGTGCTTGGATTACAGGTGTGAGCCACTGGGCCCAGCTGTATATTTCTTTCTTGAAGACTCACTATTTTAAAAAACAAATTATTTGGCATTGATTAAAACATGGTTGATCAGGTATAAACATATGTTTGAGTAACCATAATTACGCTTAAAGCCTGCAGACCTGTGATTCACAGAAGGCTTCACTTTAATTTCACATGTGAGTACATTATGTTTTAATCTAAACTACAGAGAAAACAGATAATCCATAATAATAGAAATGTAAATGAAACATTTATCACAATTATCCATGAATGGAAGCTCACAGTCATGAATTCATGAATATTTTTAGAGTAAAATTTTTCCCAGTCCCTTTAAAAGGGTTGGCACCCTAAAAGCACATTGTAAAAACAGTTGTCTTTCCTGCTTGAATAATGCTGAGAGATGAAAGAGACCAGCATTCTTTGCTTTACTTTTACTAATGATTTCACATATATAAGCACGTGATAAAAATACAACAGGAAGATGACTGAAGATGAATTGATATAAACCTATGCCTCATTTGGAAATATGAGCATATCTGTTGGGATTCCATCATATAAAAATAGAGATTTTATTTATAAATGTGCATGTATGTGCTGTCATATCATGAACCTTTTTTATTTGCCTAATCTAACATATTCACAATATTTTATTCCTCTCACATACCTAATGTATACTCATTCTATATTCTGTGTATGTGGGTTCTTAAGAGTGTTCCCAACCTGTGTTCCCCGGAAGGATTCAGACCTAAATGTGTGTCTGAGTGGGACTGATATGAGCCTGGTGGGGATCTCAGAAGGCTCTAAAGAAACCCTAGGAAAACAACCCCCTTCAAAGAAAAGCAAGCAAATCTGGCTCAAAGCAAGATTTGGCTGTCCTCTATACTTTTAACTTAAAAATCTGAGCACAGATAAAGGGAGTTGCCATCCTTTTTTAAAAGCCCTGAATTCATGTTTGCAGGCCGACAATTATCTCAGGGGGTTCAGTGAGTATAACAGACCAATTCTTGGTCTTTAAGTTTGTCATTGTCTTTGCAAAAATCAAAACTCTGGTATATTTCATTTCCTAGCTTAAAATGCCTTGAAACTCTATTATGTTTTACATTTTAAAAAGTCAGAGCGAGCATAACTGCATCTAATTTGCAATGCTTGCCTAGTCACAGTGTTAATTCACAGGACTTGTGTTAATAATATTATGCACTTCAAAGTGAATCCCGTATATTCTACAGAATTAACTAGAGTTGTTCAGGGGCCTGTTAACAAGTTGCTGAAATGCAGAAGCTTTTGGGTTTGCTGAGCAGTCATAGCCTATTACAAGTTGTGTCAAGAAAATTTCAGGGACAGGCCAACGAGAATCGCTGTTCTTGGTGGAGCCTTAGGCACTGCTTTCAGATTGCATTAAGAATCACATATGCAGGGATTCCAGATAACTATTATAGGTGGGCTCCAGTTTAAGAAATATTAGTTGTGAAAGGCAGTCTTGGAACAGGTCTAAATTAGCAAAAATAATGAGTTTCCTATCTATGCAACAACTCTCATTCATTCATTCAACAAATGTTCCCTGACCCTTGCCATGAATCCCCATAGTATTCCAGGAGTACTCTGAGTAAGACACACCCTTTCTCCGAAGGAGCTGACACCTTGGAGGTAGATATTAATAATTAGCTACATCCAGAGGTGATAGGTAAAAACAAGATACTATGAACACCAAAATCATGGAGACAATATTTCCAGCAAGAAATTCCAGGAGAGTTCACAGGGAAGATAGTTCTTAGCTGACACTCAAAGATAGCATTAGTGACTACAAGTAGGAAAGATGAACAATGCTTAGAGGAATGAGGATAGGAAGCTACACATGCACTGGACATGGCAAAAGGATCTACTTGTCTAGGTATGGATTTTGAATAAGAGAGCGTGAGTTGGAAAGAGAATCATAAAGGTAAGTTGGAACTGTATTAATAAGAGACATAAATGCTAGGATAAGAAATGTGTGATAAATTTGTTAGGCAATCAGGAACCACTAAGCTTTCTACAAAGAGAAAAATGAGGATTAGTGTTGATTGAACAACAGAATCCTTCACAGATGCTAAGGATCTTCCAAATGGAAAGAAGATACAGAGAAGCAATATCAGATAAAAATATGCCATCACAGTTTGCAGAGAAGTGATCGTGGCCCAATCCTGTGTAGTTATACACACAGTTAACTCAAACAGTAATGTCCCCTATTGCTGTTGCCTGGAGGAAGCTTAATTGTACTACTCAAGAAGTGTCACAGAGCTTTCCAAATAGAGAATGTATGTTATGTTTTGGCTCTATTGGGAAGAACAGGAGGCTCTTCTTCCCAAAAGAGCTTTTTGATGGTCCCGCATCATCCTTGGTGTTACAGAAGATAAAGGTGAACAAAAAGGTTAGAGGGATAGAACTATAGTGCTGTGATGCCACCACCAAGGCTAAGAGAACAGTCTTCAGAGAAATATTTTACAGAGGACCAAACCAAAGTCGAGTTATTGATAAGGGTCTGGAGCAAGTCATGGGCATTCCAGAATGATCCAGACTTTGGGGTAAGAACAACACAAACCTCAAAGAGACAAGATCAGCTCAGAAATCATTCCCCTGGTGTTAACTTGTAAAGGTTACTCATCAGTTCTTTAGTAAAGAAGGCCTAGAGACTGCGACAGAAACCCATGTCTATTCTTGTGTTTAGTTGCACATAAGGCTGTAAGGAAACCAAATATCGCTCCTAGTGGAGGGTGGATGTAATCGTTCACAGTGTATCCTGTTGTCAATTCCACAAGGTGCCAAAAGAACTAATCTCTCTAAGTATATGTAAATTACCTAGATGTAGAAAACCCTTCTGAAATTTAAAGTTAGAGATCCTGTATCCAGAGAATGTCATGTTAGGAGGCAGGGCAAAAAAAAGGTGTATTATTGGAGAGTTCCATGTTGCTAAGGCTGATGGTACTAGAACAAGTTACACTTTGCAATAGCTTCAAGAACAGTAAGTTAGGGCTTTGGGCTTGGATACAGGAAGAAGAGGAGCCTAGCATGTTAGTGTTTCCATTTGGGTAATTAGGAGAACAGTGATGCTCCCTGTCAGATAATAGCAGCGAATAGGGAAATTATTTGGGTAAGATGAGGATTTCAGTTGAAAACATGTTGCATCAGGATAGGAAATCCAGAACAAGATGCAGAGCATCAGGAAAATAGTATCAGAACAAAGGTCTGGGTACAAGATCAGGTATTTTTCAAAGTAAAATACAAAACCAATAAAAAACTTATTCTTAAAGCAAATTATCAGTTTGCATACTACTTTCCAGAACTATCTCAAAAAGTTTAAAGTGAGGTATAGCTTTAATTATCTTAAAATTATATTTGGTATTAAATAGAAGCTTATTTTACATAATTTCAGAATAAAGAGAAACAATACTCTTTTTTTAACAAATTTTTAATATATACTTAAGTTCTGAGATACATGTGCAGAACGTACAGGTTTGTTACATAGGTATACACGTGCCATGGTGGTTTGCTGCATCCATCAACCCATCATCTACATTAGGTATTTCTCCTAATGCCATCCCTTCCCTAGCCCTCCGCCCCACCGACAGGCCCCAGTGTGTGATGTTCCCCTCTGTGTGTCCATGTGTTCTCATTGTTCAACTCCCACTTAAGAGTAAGAACATGCGGTGTTTGGTTTCCTGTTCTTGTGTTAGTTTGCTGAGAATGATGACTTCCAGCTTCATCCATGTCTCTGCAAAGGACATGAACTTATCCTTTTTTATGGCTACATAGTATTCCATGGTGTATATGTGCCACATTTTCTTTATCCAGTCTATCATTGATGACCATTTGGGTTGGTTCCAAGTCTTTGCTATTGTGAACAGTGCTGCAATAAACATACGTGTGCATGTGTCAACAATAGTCTTTTTAAGAAACTGTAAAGCTCTGATTTGTCTCCCATTCTTAGTTTAGTCAATATGCTTATTGAAAGAATATTATCATAAAAATGTATGATATAACAATTGCTAATAATTTGATCTTTAATAGACACCTAGATACTGGCTTCTCATATTTAAAACATTCTCCCTTTTAAGAGTGTTCTAATCATAAATTTTGAGCCATAATTTACAAAACATTATAGGTGTTAGGAACACAGCACCAAATCCTAATTCCAAGAGTTCATACGTGGAGTTAATATATCCCTGTCCCAAGCATTTCTCTTCCTGATTGTCCCTCAGATGTGCAGACTCTTGGAATCCATCAGTTCAAGTAACCCCGGCCCACAGAATTTATAAGGCAGGTTCATGGGGCAAGACAGCCATCCAGCTGCCTCCTACAGATGGCTGTTAGTACAATTGTTTTCCCCTTCCACACTCCAATCAAAACCAAAACAAAAACCACTTAGACCAACTCTTAAAACCAAGAAAATATGACTTTACCCTCTCAGTAGAATGTCAGCTTCACAACGCAGGGACTTTTGTCTTTTTATCACTGGATCCTCCATGCCTAGAACCATGTCTGGCACATTGTAGGTATTCAGTAAATATTTGCCGAAGCAATCAACCAATAAACATCAGCGTAAAATTTTTATTTCTCAACAAGCACACGTTTGGTGTTTTAGAGGGGACTAGTCTTACTTATGAAATATTGCCTTGCAAATTGGAAGACATTTGGCGTGGCTGGCCCCTCCTGCTAAGTACCTGTAACACCCCACTGCAACAATAAAAACACCCTGGCATGTTTTCAAATGGCCCTTAAGAGGAGTTATGGGGCCCCAGTTTTGAGATGCAGTGTGTGAAATGTGTAATATATTGTTGGTATCTGCATGTGAGCCACAGTAGGCTTCATAAGGCTCTACAAAATAAAAGAAAACAAAGTCAGGAGGATTTGGGAGTAACTTAGATTTCCTTGTCAAGAGTGTGCCCTGTGTCCTAGGTGAAAGATTCTGGAGACAGAAAAGTACCACCAAGTGGAGACAGAGAGAGGAGAAGTAGCCTGTTGGCATGCTCAACATTCTGGAAGACCCTGGTAATCATCCGCCTCTCATTAAAAACACTCGTCAGTCTCTTCTCCCAACTCTCTGTAGAAACCATCTCCAGGTTTAAAGTGAATGTCAAAGGGAAAGTAGGAGTCACCTTATATTTAACAGCAACTATTCCAGAACACCACGATCCCCTAAAACTACTTACAGCTATTTTCAAGGTTACTGGAGGCCAACCTTGAAAATCTCCTAACATGAAAAAAAAAGGATTTGTCCAAAATTTTAAAATCTCTAAAGACAGAAATGTAGAAATTAAATATTTTGGCCAGTTGCAGTGGCTTATGCCTGTAATCCCAGCACTTTGGGAGGCCGAGGCAGGGGGATCACCTGAGGTCAGGAGTTCGAGATCAGCTTGACCAACATGAAGAAACCTCATCTCTAGCAAAAATACAAAATTAGGTAGGCATGGTGGCGCATGCCTGTAATCCCAGCTACTCGGGAGGCCAAGGTAGGAGAATCTCTTGAAGCCAAGGGGTAGAATTTGTGGTGAGCCGAGATTGTGCCACTGCACTCCAGCCTGGGCAACAACAGCGAGCATCTCAAAAAATAATAAATAAATAAATGAATAAATAATAAATAAATATTTTGCAATAACGTTCTCTCGCTTGAATTTTTCAATAAATATTTATTGCTTTGTAACAAAATGAGCGTATAACAATTTTAAATGCACCCTAAGCATATCATATGGGCTCTATATCAATTTTTATTGTGAATAATACAAAGAAAAGGGATCTAAAGATTACAGAGCCTATTGAGTTTGATGCTTGAAGAACATAACGCTATTTCAAACCCTTTATTGGGGGAACGCCCATGTCTAGATGACTACAATGGCTGCAGTGAGACACAGGTGACTCACCTTTTTACGGACGGAGCATGTGATAATTGAATTGCCCACCAAACCTGATGCTCTAGGCAGAAACTCGGCATCATCGTTGCTTAGAACTCCAAATTTAATATGTAACGTCAAAACAGTCAACTTGTGTGAATGAAGCGATAAGGAGGAATCTTTGGTGGTGGCAAATCGAAAGTAAGTATATGAGATGCCCACCACTTAAGCATAGGGCTTATATATTAGAGTTTAATAAATATTTGTTGAATAAAGGAATAAAAGACATGGCTATAGTCACATAAGAAATTTAAATTATACTCAATATTTTCTGTTTATAGGACAAGATAATGTTCTATATGTTTTATGAGGATTTCCACCCTTATAAAATGAGCACTATTCATTTTTGTGCTCATGGAGTCATAGCCAGTTATTTGAAAAACATACTTATTTAGAATAGTCCATTTTCAGACAGTGCCAGACTTTTTTTAAAAGCATTACTAAAATATAGGATATAAATTAGAAGCTGGATCTAAAAAATACTTGAGAGCTGATTTCAGGAATTTAACCCATCGTAAAGCCTGAGGAAGCAGGTTTTGTGTTACAGCCACTTTTCAATCTCCTCCTGGAAGGGACATTCCTACAGCCGTCAATCACAATTTGCTAAGCATGGTGTTCAGTGTATTCGATAGTCTCTTAAGAAGTGAGTTCAGTGTCTCACTATTAAGAGCTGTAAACAAAGACATATGGACGTTTAACCGCAGGATCCCCCACAACACTCAGAGTCCCAGAACAGTGTGTCTGGATGGGTGCTTGGGAAGCATCTTCCTTTACCAGAAAAGGAGGCAGGCACGGGGAGCGGGAGTGACGTCCCAGGACACACAGTAAAGTGGTAGCGGAGACGAAGCTGGAAATTAGATCTTTCGAATTCAGTGTTCTTAGAAGCTAAGAATCCAAGATGGATTATTAAGGAACACAGATAAGTAAACATATCAGTAGATGTAGT